GTTATAGCTAGAATACTTGGACAATTGCTGTGTGATGATCGGCAGCATGCATAACCTGGCACAGAAAGTTGGGGTGCCAGATATTTGTACTACCGTACTGTACTACTTACTATCTTATCTGTTATATACTGTACCTTTACCTGATACGTATATATGTATCATTTTTTTAATTAAAACTATGATAAGATATAAGATATTTAGTATACGTACTTTTTTAAATTTTGAAACGGTTTAGCTTTTTTTAATAAGTCATACATTACAATCTTAAATAAGATATCTGAAATAATTATTTGCATAGGTTGTATTTTTTATAATTAAAAGAAGAAACTGAAATTATGGATTCAGAAAGTACACATACTGATGAATTCAGATATCATGATGGCAGAAGATATCATAATGTAAAAGATGCCGTATATCCTTTGCCAAATGATGAAGATGAGCAAGATAGGCAACATCTTCAACATTTCTTGATGAGATATCTTTGGCAAAGCAATTTTTCTGCACCCATCAACCATATCTTGGCTAAACCAGGTGCCAAAATCCTAGACATCGGGTATGTAATGATTATGATATTTGGTTAAATATTTCGAAATAATGATCCTTGGTATAACTAAATAACGGCAAAGGAGTTCATCTTTAGTCCTTATATTCAAATTAGCTTTAATATAACAAAATTATTATTAATTTAGTAATAACGAATTTTTGAAAATTTTCATCGAGCAATTATGCCTAATGAGGGGTTTCAATTTATAACGGTTTATTATTATATACCAATATAATTAAACACAATAATTAAACACATAAAATGATTGTTACCATATTTATTATATATAACCATGATTTTCTTACATAGTCTATTCTGTTTTCTTCTTAATTTCGAAAAACAAAATTTACCCCATTTTATAGAACTTAAATATAACTTTTTTTTTATTTTTGAAGAAAAAAATTTTTATTACATTGACAAATAATTCACGAGCTCAAACCACACTTATAGGAAAATTATCATTATTCAATAATTTTATTGTTGCAGATTTATATTTAACAAATATTTTATTGAAAATATTTTGCACTAAAATCACATCCACATTTTGGTAATTTAGGTGTGGTGCAGGGTCGTGGTCATTTGATATGGCAACAACGTACGTACGTATGTTCTTATATAATAAGCTCTTTTATTCTTAGTTCTCATTACAAATTATCAATGTTTTTTAGGTACCCAACGAGTAATGTTTTTGGTTTAGATATATCACCACATCAACCGACGCAAATAGAGCCTGAGAATTTCAAATACGTTAAAGCAAATGTCTTAGAAGGAATACCATTCGAAGATAATATTTTTGATTTGGTATATCAACGATTTTTGTCTTATGCATATACTAAAGATAATTGGGAATATGTAATGAATGAGATTGTTAGAGTTTTAAAACCAGGTGGATTCTTAGAGGCATGTTTATTTTTAAAATTTAATCTAAATTTATTTATTAATATCTTAAATAATTATATCAATATTTTTTTCAAAAAGATGATGGAACCTTCTCCACATCTTTTTGATGCTGGGCCAGTTACTCAACGTTTAATGGGAGTTCGTATGTACTTGTTTAATATCTTTACTGTATTCTTCTAGTTAGTTATATTAATGTCATATTTATTAAAATGATTTATCATAAAGAATCAACGCTCATGACACAACGAGGCGTGGACCTGGATTTATATCAAAATTTAGAGAAACTTCCACAAAATCAAGGTTTTTCACTTTTGATATTATTACTTATGATAGATATCTTATTTAATAATAATAATTATATATTATCTAAATTAAGGTCAGTTAGAAAATATTGAAAAAGAAGTAAAAATAATCCGTCATGGTGTAAAGTCTAATGATATCCAACTTAATAAAGTGGTAATATACTAAAAAGAGACTGCATTGTTTCATACTTATGAATTATTTTTAAAATTTATTAAATTCCATACGACATAAAAGGGTATTGATAATCTCATTTCTATTATGGCTGGCATGAAATCCCATACAACGAGAATATTGCAAATTTTTGATGATGAATTTGATGAGATGCTTAAAGCAGCAGAAAAAGAACTATACGAATCAGATTTTTATTATTATTTGGTTCGTGTTTATGCATGCAAAGTTGTTTCTGATAATAATCAATAAAAATAGGATTTAATTATAAAGTTTATGGATGTTCTCAAGAATCTCTCTAGATGCGATTTATAGTAATCGAAATATTGCACATATACTATGATATAATTTTAGCTATTCTCATAATATCTTTAAAAAAAAAGCAATGGTGATATCATTGAGATTTGCTCATGTACAATAGAATAAAATAAAGATCTCAATCAGTACTTGAGTCGATTCTACGTGGTTTGTTAATAAATGATGTTCTACGGCCTCTAATGTTCACCCGGAACATTTCTGATGATATTTTTATGATGTAATGCCGTGAAAATATCAAAAATCATTCCACGGACATTACGTCATCAGTAAAAATCTTAATCAAAAATGTTATGGGCAATATCAAAATTTTGATCAAAAGGAGAGCCGTCACAACTGAAGCTGAAGCTCGGAAATTGGTCTAACAGAAATTTTTATTAGATTTTTTAGGCGACATAAGTTTACGAAAAATAGAAAGGGTATGATCAAACATTTAATTCTATAAACATTGCCATCAATTATGATACTTGTTCATCATCATAATTGTTATTTAATCAATTGATTAGGTTCTTGACAATATCTTAATCAAAGTAATTTAACCGCCTCTGATGTTAAAATGCATTGTAACGGCAATGATCTTGATAAAGTAATGGTTCGGGGTTTAAATTTTTTTTTTGCTTTTTTAAGATTGGTTTCGACACGGATCATTAGCTGTATTCAGCGCCTCTCTTTAAGGTAGGCGCTCTGATTGCTGTTTAATTTAACGATTAGTCAATCAAATAAATATAAGATAATTTAATATTGATGAGGATATTTACGTTGTATTTATTATTTAAGAACTAACGAGTGTTTTTCTCTTTTCAACATTCTATATTTTACTATTGGATTTCGAGCTATTGCTTACTAGTCTGATTTTAGGATTTCCTGTGTAGGAAATTTTACAACGTTCTAAGAAGCTACATCTTTACTTCGTTCAACAAAAGATATAGGTATTAAACGACAGCTCTATAATTACAAGTAACCAAATTACAAAAAAATAAAATCAAAAGAAAATTGATAAAATGAATAAAGCATTAGAAATTGCCTATTGTAAGTTTACATAATCTATCAAAAATACATTATCAGATAACTTTCAATTAAAAACTCACATATATGTTGTAAATACGTCGAAATACGCGTAGAATTTTTGTGTATTTCAAATCGTTATATATATTTGCAGTTGACTCCATTCAATTAATCATCTGATGTAAAAAAAACAAAATGAATTAATGAAAAATGTTCATTAAACTATTCTATGTTTCATTAAATAAACTTTTGATATACAAAATTTGGAATAACGCACATGAATTTTTTATTTAAAAAAAAAGCATATTGAGCTCAAGATAATTAATGCACATGTGCGTCTCAAAATAACGTGCCTCACATAAGCACCAGAGTGAAGTCACAGGAAAGTTTTTAGTAGTTGTAATCATTCCCTAAAATTAGTACCATATAACCGCGAAATAACGAACAGGGGCGATATTTTGAATTTTGGCCCGAATTAAGCTTAATTTAGGCCAAATTTTGAAATTACGCCCCTGTGCGTTATTTCACGGTTATAGTTCGAATTATCACCCTAAATAACGTGCAGAAGCGCGTTATTGCGCACTTATACAGCATTGAAATGGATGGAAGTTGGAAATTAAAATAATGCACTACCGTAAAAGTTCATATACAAGAACCGGGTCTGTTTCATTCCACCAATTTTTATACCCGGATCTAGTACTCGTCCAGAGTTTACATTATGAAAAGGAAAAACTTAAAGTGCATACACACTTTGTATTTATAATAGGCATTCAAGCTATTTGAAAAAAACCGCATTTAATTAATAAAGGTCTACTATTTTGGGAGAATCTTGTATATGAACTTTTACAGTAAAGTCTTTAGGGCCTAAACGACTTCCTGAATTGGATAACATTTCTCTATAAGTTGCAAAAAACTTCATAAGCGCACTCAATGTCACTAATAGGATTGGCATGGTTCTTGAAGTACCCGTAGTGCACTGACTAAAAGACCCCCCACTTTGAATACCCCCCATGTAAAATACCCGGGTATAATATATGGTGTAAAATTATGTAATTCTGGTAAAATTCTAAAATTTTGGCCAAGTAACAGTCAAAATACCGGGTATTTTATAAGTTTTTTTTCAGGTATTTTATATTAGACCCCGGGTCTTTTAGTTAGTGCACTACGGTACTTTATTCCTAAGTTGTCACCCGGCCAGAATTTGACCCTTAATGACTCAAAATTTTATTATAATGACCTTCTTTAATTAATTAATTAAAGTTGTTCAGTATTAACTTTTGAATATATGTATACGTGTAAATCTTTAATAAAGTAAAGTGGTGCGATAGGAAAATAGGACGGACATGTGGAAATCATGATAACACCACAGTTTATAAAACTAAAATTATTTTTTTCTATAACCTGATCTTTATCCTAACATGAAAAGTTAATACTAAAACTTTTCCTAACTTAACCATTAAAAAAGGATAATTACTGCATGCACTATTAAATATATAATTTTTTTATATAACTGTCTTTACACGATACTATCCTCTTTTTATTACGGTACTTCTCACTTCACCGACAATCATTTCACCGAAAGTTCACTTAGCCGACATCACATAGGGTTAGGATTAGTGTTTTATTAGTTGCAAGTTTATATTTTTAGTAAATTGTCACTTGGTGTGATGTCGGCTAAGTGAGCTGTCGGTGAAATGATTGTCGGTGAAGTAAGGCGGATCCGTTTAGACGATCCCTATTCTTAAACAATGAAAACACATCACTTTATAAAAATATTAATAAGCAAGTATGTAAATAGCTAATCAAATGAAAAAACGATACGAGTTTCTCATCGGAGAGGTTGCTGGAACTCCATTTGATGAAAAAAAGAAAAAAAACAAAAGGTGATAAACGGAAACTTTTCAGAATGCTTAAAGATATCTACGATGATATCTTTAAGCATTTCTTTGAAAGGTTTCCGGAAAAAATTTCGATAGATACATTTGAAATATACGGGTTGTTAATTTCTGGTATGTATCAATTTTATCACTGTTCCCTTATTTTTTATATAATTAATTTTTAATTTAGAAATAAAATTAAAAATTTACGTCCTTGACAAACCTTGCTACGGTTTATAGAACAAGGAAGGTAGATCAAATGATTCTTCCTGTAAACGAAGATGATGATCAAATTATTGCTGCAATTGACAGCCTATTAGTAAGTAAAAAATTTATTGTTTTTGCATATATTAATCAATATCGTTAGGATTTATTAATATCTTTAAACTATAGGGTGTCATAATTAATAATAACAATATATTTAAAGATAAAGAAAAAGAATTTAAAAAAGCAAAGCACCAAGAAACGAATGGAAATTAGATTCGTTTCAAAAAACACAAATGTCACCACGACATTATTAATTGTGAAAAACTGAGTCAAGTAGCTTAGTGGACCATATTAGACAACAACCTCTTTTTTTTTTAAATTAAATAATCAAAAAATTCCTAATATGATGCGATACGATGATTTTTATTTGTATATACTATTACCAGTTACTGTAATTACCTCGTTGCCTATGTCATGAATAATTTCTTTCATGATTGAAATGCCTGAATTCTTCACAATAAAATAATTAAACAATTATAGAGATTCGTTTAATTTTTACACCGAAAGTCTATCACCGAAGAAAATCAATAAAACGGCACAATCTTTTTTATTTAATAAATATTGTACTATACTGCATCAGTACATGTTTATATGTTAATTGTTGAGTTAAGATTACTATAAAAGATTATTATAATAAAAATTACTTTAAGCGTCATATTGAATAATTCATATAATTGAAAAACAAATAGATTAGTGATGGGTTTTGGATTCTGTATATCGGAACTTCAGTTGTTAGAATAATTTTATAATACGAACTTTTCCATCCTAACACTAATCACATTGAGCTGTTAGAATGATTATTTTGCCTTACTTGATTATTTGAATTTCGTGTTAAACTGATGATTGCTAAAATTCAATTGACTGCCGTCTTCAATCGTTACTGCAATACTTTTTACATCTCTGTAT